TTTTTTTGCGCCCTCTACGTCTCTTCCTGTTTATCTAGTTACTGTTCCTTCTAATTTTCATCGATTTTCAGTGTCTCAACCCCACTTCAAGCAACTAAACAACCATGTCCGACGGAAAGGAAGAGCTCGTCAACCGCGCCAAGCTCGCTGAGCAGGTATGTTGATTTCAGAATTTCAGATTTCCATAGTAGCCCTAGTTTAGCTGAGCAATTTTCAGTTAGATAAGATCTATAAGTGACTGACAGTAACCCTTATCCAATTCCAGGCTGAGCGTTACGACGACATGGCCGCTTCGATGAAGAAGGTCACCGAGCTCGGAGCTGAGCTCTCCAACGAGGAGCGCAACTTGCTCTCCGTCGCTTACAAGAACGTCGTCGGAGCTCGCCGTTCGTCGTGGAGAGTCATCTCCTCGATCGAGCAAAAGACCGAGGGATCCGAGAAGAAGCAACAGATGGCCAAGGAATACCGCGAGAAGGTCGAGAAGGAGCTTCGCGACATCTGCCAGGACGTGCTCAACTTGCTCGACAAGTTCCTCATCCCAAAGGCCGGAGCCGCCGAGTCCAAGGTGTTCTACCTCAAGATGAAGGGAGACTACTACCGCTATTTGGCTGAGGTCGCCTCCGGAGACGACAGAAACTGTAAGTGTGACGCGTTGACATATCGATCTTTAATTGGGACCTAACCGTGCACTCGTTTTCTAACCTTATCGTAAAAGCTATGCATCCTTGTGTGAAGTGTGAAAAGATATCATAGGGAGAAGACAGAGAGAACGAGCGCCCCAAGGGTCCCAATTTCACATCGATGCGTAGCTTTTAATTCTAGTTATGGGGATGAGTCAAACAGAAAGACACTTGGTAATTCCCCTCTCTCATTGCAGCGGTTGTCGAGAAGTCGCAACAGAGCTACCAAGAGGCGTTCGACATCGCCAAGGAGAAGATGCAGCCAACTCACCCAATCCGCTTGGGACTTGCGCTCAACTTCTCTGTCTTCTTCTATGAGATCTTGAACGCTCCGGACAAGGCTTGCCAGCTCGCCAAGCAGGTGTGTTTAATGTTTTTGCTTTCTTTCTAGCCGTCGCCAATATCGGACAAGCCGCCTACGCGGAGGCTCTCGAGATTGCGAATAAAGATCTCTCGCCGACAAACTGCGTCCGCCTCGGGCTCGCACTCAATTACTCGGTCTTCTTCTATGAAGTAGCCTCCAGTCCCGATAGAGCGTGTCAGCTCTCCAAGCAGGTGCCCGTCTAAGAGTTTCTATAAATAGCACAAGGCGAAATTGACTTAATATTCATGGTTTCCTTTCCAGGCCTTCGATGACGCCATCGCTGAGCTCGACACTCTCAACGAGGACTCCTACAAGGACTCGACACTCATCATGCAGCTTCTCCGTGACAACCTCACTCTCTGGACCTCGGACGCTGCTACCGATGATACCGATGCCAACGAGCAAGAAGGAGGAAACTAGATAATTGCTCTTCTTTCTCTCCACCAATCTCCACTCTCGCCTCAATCACCCCCACTCCCAATCCGATCTGAAACATGATAAATAATATTATTTGTCATATATTTATTAATACTGTCTAGTTAAAGAAAAGAAACTCTTTTGAGCTCTTCATTTTCTCATTTCCCCGTTTAATAAAAACCACTCTTTCTCACCGTTTTCCCCCACCCAAATGAATTTTCTTTCTCTCTCTCTCTCTCTCTCTCTGTAATAATCTCTCTTAAAATGCATCAACTTGCACCCCCCGCCCCGACAAAAAAAATTAAATTTTCCGTTGTATTACGGCGTTCCTTTCCCCTCTCAATCTCGACATTCGAACAGACCCCCAAGCTTTTTGAGACACATAATAAAGTACTATGTTATCATTCTGTGTCCAGGTTGATATTCAGAGGTGCTGGAGCCTAAAAATGTTGTTCAATGGTCTCGATATTACAGTTTACAACTTACAGAAAACCTTTAAAAAGGTTTTCAGATAATCAAGGAGTGAATTAAGCAGAGGAAGACATCGACACAGGATTACATAGAAGAATAAGCTCTAGAAGACCAAAAGCTGAAACTCAGAGAATTTTCGCTGTGAAAATCCGTTAAAATCCTATAAAAAGATATTTAAAAACATTTTGTCGTCTCAAACGTAAGCCCACATATTATCCAAAGCGGTTAACCTGGCTTTCGATTACCGTTTTTCACCAAAAACTCGATAGTCAAAGGAAACATTGAAAAATTAGTTAAAGTTCGGTGGGGCGCGTTTGGAAAGCTTAGGCGCCAGATGCGAAATTTGAAAATTGATGAAATAATAAACGTTTTTGAGAGAGAAAAAAACGGAAATGATAATAGGAAACAATAAAAAGAACGGTCCTAAAATAGCTAAAGTATGAAAAATCTAAACCAAGCTGTCTTGTTGAATGGCTGAAACTCCACCGGAACAGAAGAATCCAACGAAATCGCTTTATTTCCTGACTAAGACTGGATTTGAACGGAAGATTTCGAATCAATGTGTATCTGGGCGTAGTGTCAGTTTCCGAAGCTACATCTGTTCTGAAACTCACCACTAGTTCATTACCTACGTCTGTTAAGGCAAGTTTCCCACTTCTGACGATAATAATCAAAATTCCAAGTTCGCAGGCAGTTTTCACTTCAGAAGCACTACTTCCATCAGCCAGCAATAGCTGTATTATCCGATGGAGCGTGTGAAGACAATACAACGCTTTGAAAATCGAAAATAATAAAGTGTTTAAAAAACACTATGTTGAAAGCCAAAAACCGTGTCATAACACAGAATTTATAGCAAATCAATCAATTTTCGGGTAGTTCTGGGCCCCAATGATCAACGTATTCTCCAAGGTACAGACTAATCCATGACGTGTTTCGAAGAAGATAATTTATGGATTTTCTTCCCAGTTCACTAAGTTTTTCTCTGTTTTCAGACTTCTCAATAGACATATCGTACCTTATTGCAAATCGGTACTCAACAACAGGTATCGAAGCATTTCAAGCTGCTCACAATGCTGATTTTGGTCCTGAGACACGTTTGTCAAGAGAATATACACCTGTTTCAAAAAGTCTTGCTTTAATCAAACCACATTCCTGAAGTGGAATTGTTTTTGCTGAAACCTTCCGAGTAGTTTCGTGCAACTCTCTCTGGTTATTGCAACGCCTCGATTGCGAATATCAAAAGATAGTATTGAAATTTAAAAAATGATTGGAACAATGACAAAAAAGCGCATTTTGAATATTTCAGTTTTTCTCGTTTCTGAAAATACAATTTCCGCGCTCTACAATTAAATGTCGAATGAAATTTAGTAGCGCGCGTTTGAAATACGACTGGCGCGGATGTTGCGAAATTCAAATGAATCAGATTCTGGACAAATAATATCGAAAAAGAAATGCAGTAGCGATTAAAGAACGATAGAAAACCGAATTTCGGAGTTTGGTTGAAGGAAGAAGAATCCTGAAAATTTGTAGGGCACAAAAATATTATTTTCTGAGATTCTGAAAATACTGAATTCGCTCAATCGCTGAACCGAAAGTTTCTTTCTTTTTCGACAACATTTTTGATCAATTTTTTCTCGAAGCAGAGGGGGATAGATCAATGAAAGTAGCGTCTATGAGCATTGACAATTGTCTGGCAATGCTCCAATAATTTCTTGATTCCATCGGCCGAGAACAACGAGAGCTGCGATCAAAAAAGTGGACCATTTTGGAGTCATCTTTTCAAGTGAAGTATTTTCTATTAAGATAACGTTTAAGAATTCCAAACGACCATTCATTCGAAAGGGCTTGAGCCGGAAAATACGAAGAGTGCAAAGTAATAGTTGAGCCAAACGATATGAATTTTTGGCTGGTCCCTCTAGTCACTGGCGATCTCGCATTGTCGCGCTGAAAGCGGACTTTGGTTTTTCTCCTCGTTTTGATTCGATTCTCAAATTAAATTTTTCTAATTAGGAACTATACAAGGCGGCAGTTATAGTGGTACTTTCATATAAAAGTTCCTACTTTCCATTTCTTTGAAAAATCACCAACTTCATAGCATCCCCCTTTTCACGTAAATTTAGGTTTCGGGATGCCCAGAGCTAGCTATTCTTTGTCAATCAACTGACCCTTCCGAACGTTGATAGATTAATTTACCCACTTATTATCTATAGTAATTAGATCCCCCACCCAACTGAACGTGCGAAGAAATGATAGGAGCGCGAAGAAATGATGATAGGAGACACAGGGCAATTGATCGAGATCCAGCTCACTGGACCGTTGGCATCTTTCAACCGGATCTCCCCTGTGCGAAATTTTTTAAACAAAAGGCAAATTGTATGCGATGGCCAAACATGTCCCTTATATAAAAAAAAACATGTCCCTTATATGTCCCTTATATACATCCACCAATTGCTTGTAAATACCGGGCATTTAAAGACCAAATAAAAATAAAAATATAATAATGTCTGGTTTGTGCAGTCGGGTAAGGTCCAAAAGAATCGTCATTTCTCAAACACGAAGAGAGATAAAAATTAAAAAATATGCGATCTAATAGACACTAAACACAGCTCTCTAAAAAAAATGTTGGTCTGGTACACCATTTAGAAAACCAGAAATTTAGCCTTCAAAACAACACTGCGAAAAAGAAAGAAACTTTCGGTTCAACCTAATATTTGGAAAATTGTTGTTTTTTATCGGGATGTGTTCCATTCGAGAAATTATGCGTCTCCCACACATATTATATAATTTTTTTCACAGCGATGTAATCATCTCTATGTAATCATCATATCTCATTTTCTGTGAAAGATATCAAAAAGTGGCTAACTAGTAAAATGTTGCTGATATCCTGATAAACATTTTACTAGTTAACCACTTTTTGATATCTTTTAAAAGAAGTGAGATATATAGGCTCAAAGTGGACGATCCGGGTGTCGTTCTATTAGAGGTTTTACGGTAACCGTATCTAACAGGAAAAAAATCAACACGTGTTTTTCCCTGCAATTAAGAAACTATACAGAACTTCAGAAACTATGGGACATTTCAAAAACTATACGACACTATACGATACTAAACTGTGAGCCAATCAGATTGCTTTTTAAGGAGAGCACTCTCTTGTTTTTTTTCACAATTTCTAGTCATTGATCATCTACTTCAAGTCTTCTAATAACCGATTCTTCTGACAAGCGAGTTGGTTTTCAGTTTCATTATCAAAAGTCCAGCATGCTTTCTAATTTTATGCTCTCTTGAGAAATCGATGGTCTTTCTTATAGCTTTCTATTCAACGTCAGCTTTTCTTTGTGCTATTCTTCTGCATCTTAGACACAATATGAGACTGTGAGAAATATAAAGACTAACGAACAACGGGACAATAGAAAAATTTGAATATTTGTGGGCGGAGGAGTTTAGCACATCACCATCTTCAGAATTTGGATGTATATAAAAGGATCGTTTCAGCCAAATAGAAACAATCTTCAAGTCAAATCGGAATACGTCGTTTCAAAGAATGTTTGAATGTTCGAGAAATTCTTGTTGTGGCATCCATATTCGCAATCGGGAACTATCTACTACCAACTCCGACCATTGAAGGTTAGTTTTTGACGAAGTTCTAGGAAAACAAAAAATGTAGTCGACGTCTCAGCTAAAAAATGGCAGGGAGGTTGTTTATTACTTTGAGCCATAAATTTTTGTTCCAGAACTACCTCAAAACCCATAAAACAAAATTGAAGTAGCCGTCATTTTAATGTAACACATTTTCAGAACACCCGACGGAACACAAATGCTCCGTGATTCAGTACCGAACGGCTGCAAATATTACTCGTCCTTCTTGGAAAGCCCTTCTCATGACTCATAAACCAGAAATCCAAGTCGACAGTGTTGAAAACGGTGAAAACGTTTGCAGTTCTATTTTATGTTGTATGTCGTGAATTTCAGAACATCGCCCATTTCACGGGGTACATTTTCATTCAAAACCAAGGAAGTTTTGTTCTTCTCCTCCCACTGAAGGTTTATTCGATTTCCGTTGCTCTGGTAATAAAAAATTGTTAATTTGCAGATTCTGGTCGGACAAAGAACTACCCTCTCTTGAACTCCCAGAAGGTTAATGCCGCTTATTCGGATGTCGTCGGATTTAAGACATATCCTCCGCGAAAGATCGCTCAAGAGTGCCCCGGATGTACTACACTCGATTCAGAAGGTTTGCTGGTTTGAAACGTTTTTGTGAAATATTTTGTTTTCAGAAGCTGGTCGGACAACGAACTACCCTCTCTTGAACTCCCAGAAGGTTAATGCCGCTTATTCGGATGCCGTCGGATTTAAGACATATCCTCCGCGAAAGATCGCTCAAGAGTGCCCCGGATGTACTACACTCGATTCGGAAGGTTTGCTGGTTTGAAACGTTTTTGTGAAATATTTTGTTTTCAGAAGCTGGCCGGACAACGAACTATCCACTTTTGAACTCCCAGAAGACTACTGCCGCTTATACAGGTGTCGTCGAATTTAAGACACATCCCCCGAGAAAGAATGAAGCGGATTCCTCCCACCCTCCAAGAAAGGCTCATGATGAATCAAGAGGTTTTCTTCCAGATTTTTTAAAATGTCATTTCACTATTTCTAATATTCCAGAAGTTTCTGTTCCACATTCTCATTCCAGCTTTTTTGTATATTTCATTTCTCTCTGATTCAAAATTTCATTCAGATGATCGTCTCCAAGCGTCGTTGGAAAATCGCAATCCAAACCGTGAACGTCGGGCAACCAGAATTCCAATTACGCCTAGATGATCCTTCAATAGAAAATCTATTATAAACTGGAACATTAACATTGAAAATTATCAATAAATGATGTTTTTATAATCTCGTTAAATGTATAAAGACACTCTACTGAGTACTACTACTCACTAAAAAATCATTTAGTTTTGAATAAGAAGTCCGATATTTGAACTGTCAGTAGATCAAAAATCGCAGCTTGAAATTCATCGTATTTTCGATTGAATTCTCCGAAACTCCAATAAAATTGCAACTGAGAGGCATAAGTCACGAGGTTGAGGTATCGTTGCTTCTTCGATTGTTTTTCGGGTAAAAACAGTTTACACATCAGCTTTTGCAAAAAAGCAAACTGTTATGCAACGTTCAATATGTAAAACACCTCATTTTATATGTGAGAAAACCAACACATAAGATTTTGCAGAAAACCGTATATAAGGGGACCGAGAGGCAACGATGTGTACAGCAAATACGATATGAAGGACTTTTTTATCCTTGTCGTGGCGACCGTCTGTATTTCCCATTATATGGGCCCAAGCGACAATTTCGACGTCTGTCGCTCGTCGCTCGACAAGGATGGATAGTTTATCTTTGGAAAACTATGATTCTACTATAGTGGCATTTTTCACAGAGAATGCACACCCCACCCACCCCCCGAAACAACTCTGATCTTGAAAAGAAGCCGCTGTCGGAATACATGAATTCGGAATTCAACAGCCGAAACAGTCTAAATACCCAGAAAATTATCTAAAACTCACTCAAAACCTTCTAGAAATAGAAAACAACAAACATTTGCGACTCTTCCTTCTCAGAATCGTGTCATATTCTTCTCGCCATGAATTTTGACAGATTTAGGGGTCGATTATTGTAATTTACGGAGGAATAATAAAATGACATGACCGACAGTCGAAAAAAGATGAGATAACGAGTAGAATGCGAGATGACGATCTGCCAAAACCCACTCATAAATTTTTCGCGCCTTTAGAGATGTCTATCTATGGTCCACATTTGGCCGACGTTAAACTTTCGACAGAAAATAGGAAATTCTACGTGGGGAACATAAAGAATACGTGGCAAAA